TTATATGCTATAAAATGTATTAAATATACCTATTTTTTCAACAAACATATGCAAAAAATAGTTTATATTAATTCAAAAAATATTTATACTCTTTTGAATGTGTATTTAAAATACTTTATTAAAAAAAAAATAAAAAAACACAGCTTATAAATATGTAAAAACATATTAATTAGTTTTTGATCTATTAAAGTTAAATTTTACAAAGGCTAAGCACTTTAAGTATAAGGATAACACTGTACAATAATAATTTTGGTGATATTTTCCAACTTGAAGGGTCTTCAACGATCCGAAAAGAAGTTATTGTAGACTGAAAATTACACAATTAACGGTAATGATTGATAATTTATAATAATATTAATAATAGGTAGTTTCTTTACATTTATTTAAATATAAATAATATACACGGTGTATCAAAAGTCTTCATCCAATTTCAAAAATTTATATTTATATTAAAAATGAAGATATAAGAGTAAAATAAAGTAAAATATATTCTTAAAAAAGTCAAGTTTTATTTACTTTGGTTACAAATATTTAATATGACCCCCACCGGCTGCCCGACATACATCTATACGGTAATCAAATTCTTCCCAAACGTTGCTGATCATATCTGATATCGCGGCATGAACAGCATCTTTGATTCTAAATTTAAGCTCTTCCAAGGTTGTAGATATTGGTGGTATATAAACTTTATCTTTTATGTAGCCCCATAAAAAAAAATCACACACTGTGAGGTCAGGGAAACGTGGTGACCAAGGATGAACTTCGAACTAAACTGTCGAACATGCTCGATGTTTCCATTAGAGAAACGAGGTCGACCTGAGCGTTTCTGTGCACACAGACAACCACTTTCTTGGAACGTTTGGTGCCAACGTCGAATCCTTTGAGTAGTAGGAGCTTCAGTTCCCTAAGTTCTTCGAAAATCACGTTGAATGGTTAATGCCGACTCGCACTTATTGAAACGTAGGACGTAAAACGCTTTCTGTTGTGGAGTCGTCATAACGAAACAAACTAACGGTTCCTAGTTCACTAACCATTACAGTGCCAAATTTATCAACTAAATAACTTAAAATAAACTTAGTTATATAATCTTTCCATTAATACATCGGTTATTAACCTGCAATTAACTGTTGCCGAATTATATCAGTTCGTAATCGGATGAAGACTTTTGAAACACCGTGTATATTAACATTTATTTTCATACGTGTGTAGATTAAAATTATTTAGTTTTAGAACTATACAGTTGTTCGAAAATAAATTAAAAATACCGATTGATAAAACTGGATATCTTAGCGCGTAGCCAAAGTTTTTGGTGTCAAGTGCATGAGTGTCCCGCGAAAACTTGTGATATATAATAGTGTTCCGTGAACAAAAAAAGGTTGAGAACCACTGATATAAGGGTATAATTCTGGTCGCGCGAAAAAAATATGCCATAAGTCATAAACATCCGAGCTCTAGTTATGCATAATAAACATGAATTAAATTTTTGTTCTTGTACTCATTATATTACATTATTTTCCTGAGAATATTCAAAATTATCATTGATAATTATTAGGTAATCCAAGTAATTTATAAATAACTTTATTATAAACAAATACAGTCAGAGTACACCATGTACTCACATGCCGCTTTATCATGTCTAGTGCTCTTATTATATTTCACTAGAACTCTAAATAAAAATTATATGTTTTCGATGAATATATTATATACATATTATACATCAGTGGTTCTCAATCTTTTTAGGACCGTGACCCAAATTTTCTTCCGAAAATCTATCGCGACCCCATAGTTTTACATTTACAGAATCAATAAAAATAATTTTAAAAAACAAATGTCTTCTATTTTATTACTTATTTACTACTTTATAGTAATAATAATAATTATAATAATATATTTATAATAATAATAATATAATATTTAATTAATAATTAGGCGTATGTGATGAATGTGCTTGTTTCTTACAATCTGTATAATTAAAAAAACTTCTCGCGACCACTCAAAAATTTTACAGTTTGAGAAACGCTGTTATACATCGTTTTTATATATTATCATTGATTATAAATACTATTATATTTATACATTATTGTATTTATAATCAATGATATTATGTATAAGTATAAAATAGTTAATATACTACTGTAGTATCAATGTAATGTTTTTTCCAATTTTTAAGCTATAATTAATTATAATTTTTATAGTGCATTCTTTGAATTAATTTTGAATTAAGTCATTTTTACATTTTTTTTAGTGCATTTTTTAAGATTTTTTAGGGCATTACAACCCCAGCATAATTATTATTATATAAATACATAGGTATTAAAACCAACTTTCCCTCAACAGCTTGACTTCGATACTAATTTAATTTTACTTACTACAAATAACTAATTTGTTCATCCGTTTTGATACTTTTTTCTGAAGTTGGTATCGGCTTTTTCAATTTCTTCAGAAATTATATTCAAAATTTAATCAAATGTCTCAGGACTTACTCTCGTAAAGTTTTTAAATTTTAGCTCGTCATCACGTAATTCACGTAAAAACATTTAATTCAATTATTTGTTGTACTTTTTCTATTTAAAGGATGAACACACAAAATTTTTTTGTGTTTCACTCTTTTCGATATCTAATAACAAAGACCACAAAGTAGGGATAATAACTTCTTCTTCGTCGGAAAACATGTTAGCGACTAAATACGATTCAAGGGCGTATTTGAGTGGGGTCGAAGGGAACATTTGCCCCCCCCCTTTGGCTCGTATTTTTTTTGAATAAAATACATTGATTCATTTAAAAAATGTAATGTATAAATAATTAAAAATATAAATTACTAGTCTATCATTATAATATGATAATAAATTCAATAATATGTCAATATATCATAACAATTTTGGTTGTGGAACGAATAGTAGTATTTTCTACAGATATTGCTACGGTTATAGATATTTACAACCATAGCCAAGGTATATATCAGATAATATAAATTTAGGGTAACACTTTTTTTACCACATATTTACTAGTTAGTCATTTTTTGGTGCATTTATACATATTGTATATTTTTGTATTCATTAGAGTTTTATAAGTCCTTTATAATTTTACTCGCCTATTATTTTTTTACAACATAATATCTGGTACCTAATTTTTGTTATGCATAGGTATTTAGTCATTTTTTTGTACACAAATGCGTGCATATTTGTGTATTTCATAGAGCTAGAAGCCCCAAACTCAAATAATAATCACAATAACTAACAATATTTGTTTCCATATTCATTAACTTGCAAATATTGGCCAAAAATATATTTTTGTAGATTGAAAAAATGGTTGAAATCAAGAATAGACCAGCATAGACTAACAGGTTTGGCTTTGCTGCATGTACATAAAAATTTTATTATATCCATTGATGAAACAATCAACAAGTTTTCCAAAATGAAAAAAAGTAATTTGGAATTTGTTATTTGACTACTTACCAACCTTATGTTTTCTACTTAGATATTTGTTAAATTAAGTTACCTATCTTAATTATTTTTTAAAGTTTTTTAAAAAATAATTAATAAGTACTATTACTACTATGATTATTTGTTGTTTTTTTTTATACAGGATTCAGACTGAAGGTACAATTTTAATATAAGAACTATTTGTGTTGTTATTATTAATACTTATTGTATATGCAGTAGGTTTTAAATATATTTATTAAATAAATATTAAATTCAATTTGGTACTTATAGTTTTATTTATTCTCTGGAATGAGCAACAGGAACATAAGCTGTAGATAATGAATCAAAAGCGTACCCAGGAATTTTTTAGGGGAGGTCCAACATTTTTATTTCATCTGTTCTCTAATTATAATTATAGTTTAATTCAATACCTACCAAAAAATTACTGTTAATAACTATTGAAATAGTCAAATAATTTTACACACATCACACATATTCTACACAAAGGTTTACTATAATAATTAGGTACTATCAGTTGAAATCAATTTTTATTTGGTAGTAAAATGTTATAAAAAAATATATTATTTAATTAACAATAATAAATAATATTAAAAAAGCAGTATAAATTAAACATGGTTTATACATTATTGGTAATAATGCTTATGCCTCATAATGTATACACTTATTTATAATTAATTGGGAAACGTAAATTGCGCCCAACGAAGAGAAACAATTGTAAATTGCGTCCGGTATTTTTCAGGTACAAATTTCTGTATAGTATTTGTATAGTAATTGTACCCAATAGAAATATTATTTTTATGATAGTCATATAGCATTACCCAAAGGACACCATGAGGAGGCGACTATCACTGTCCTCCAAAAATATTTTTCTTTTTGGTTTACTTGAAATGAATAAATTAATTAATACAAATAGGAAAATTATTTTTTTTTTTAAATATTATGGTATTAATTAATCATCTTCACATATTCAGCCCTCGTAATAGGGTTTTCATTGTATTGTTGAATAATTTTTTCTATTTTTTGAAATTTTTTTTTTTTATTTTGTGTTTTGAAATGTTGGAACAAATGAAATGTATGAACCTATAAGTTTCATTTATGCTATTAATTTTTATATACATTTCAGATTGTAACTAATATTTTATCTATAATATTATAAATATGAGGTTACTTAGATAGTAGATACTATGGGCGCAATTTACTATACCCATTTTAGACCCCGAAAAATCCCGAGCGCAATTTACTATACCTATTTCAGAACCAAAAAAATCCCGAGCGCAATTTATTATAGTATTTTTACTTAATGTGTAACTACTTAATATACTTATTATCCTACTTAATGTGGGCGCAATTTATAAGCGCCCAATTAATTACCTAGTGATCGTATGGGACTAGATGGGACGCTGAGAATGATACGTGGATTTAGAATCCCCTCTGCCCTTTTTTGGCACTTTAAACCCTAGTCGCCACTGGTATTCGTGACCGTTCGACTGACGTCAAGACCCGCGTACAATTGATATCGATACGGACGTGAATCACTATCAGCAGTTCTTATCACTGTTATCAAAATAATCCGTAGCCCAGCTGCCGTCCGCGAGCACAGCCTAACCATTTCGCCTACGCCTTCGGATCCACCGTGCTTTTTCAGTTTCTAATTGTCAATAACACCTGTGGTTCTTTTTTACGCGTTGCCCGCTGTCCATCTGACTGCTGGCCAGTTCCGTGGAATCGTTGCTGCTTAGACGACTTGACAATGTCTAAATCAATATGCAAGTTTTACGCCAGAGGACACTGTAAATTCGGATCCTCATGTCGTTTCTCGCACTCTGAACATTCGAACAATCAGTATTACGACGAATACCGACCAAGAAGTATAGTGCATTTTATTATGTTTATTTTTCAATATCTAGTAGTGCTGTTTAGCATTTGACGATTATGCTGTGTAAAAATGTCATACTTTGCGCAAACATTTTCAAAAATTAATAAAACATGTATAGATAACACTTTTTATTGCCCTGCAACTCAATATTTAATTTTTACTTTTTGTGCACATTTTTTGTACGTTTTTTTCATCATACTGACTCTTAGCTTGTTAATGAAAAATGTTACATATCTTAACATTTATACTTAATTTGTGCATAACTATTTCAAAATCAATATTATTTGTTTAATAATTACTTATATTTTTTTTAGAAAATGCCAATCGAGATTATAACTATGATAATTACAATGATGGTAAAAGTTATGATCAACATTATGCTCATTACAATCAATCTGATATTGTAAACTATCATTCACAGAAAGATTATAACAGCAGCAATAAATATAACCGAAAATATGATAACCAAAACTATAATTCTCACAAGAATTATGATGATGGTGACTATCATTCTAATTATAACTCTAATGATAATAATTACCAAAATTCAAAACAAAAAGAGAGTTATGTAAGAAATTATAATGAATATGATAAAACTGGAAATGATTATATGTATTCCAACCACGGAAGCAACGGAAGAAATTTTAAAGATCATAATGTAAATAATGAGGAACACTTTACCAACTCTTATAGGTATTTGAATTTAAAATACATAATATTTATTGGCAACAAAATATAACTATTAATACTCAATATTTCCTCAAGTTTAATACTAATTTAAATCCCTTTTTATTATAATTGTATAATGAATAAAAAAATTAATTATTAAGTAATTTTTATTTTTTTAATATTTTTTTTGAATTACATTACTATTATACAATTTTTTCCTAAGTAACTTTTTTTAAATTTCCTGAAAAAAAAGTTATGTAAAAAATCTCTTTTTATAAATTTACTAAATGTGCATTGGTATTCTGTTTAATTTATTGAAAACTAGTTTGAAAAAAAATTATCTGTTTATATCCGTACATAAAAATTAAATAAATATTCTAAATAATAATAATGATCAATAATAAAATAATAAAAACTGTAATTCAAATTAAGTATTATTAAATGGTTAATATTTGTAAATTAATAAATAAATAAACAAATAGTTTATCCTTAGAAATAAATAAATAAAATTGTCGCCTGATTTTATTGACTTTGTATACTTGGCAATGAATTTTTAATTTTAAACCGGACTTACTTTACAAATATAAACAAATATAATAATTAGGGGCGGGCCGATCCTAGAACCGATTATTGGTTTCGGAAATATCGGTATTGGTTTATTTTCAAAACCGATATTTGAACTGATACCGCAAAAAAAAGAATCATCAGCATAAAATACTTTAATACCAATAACAATAATATTTTAATCACTAAATATCGATAGTATTGTGGTGTTGTGGTGGGCCACAGTAAAATAATTTAATGCTAATATTATGTAATATCGGTTTTATCGGTTTGTGGTATTGGATTAATTTTAGTATCGGTTCATGGTTTTGCCAAAAAAGTTGATTTTTTTTATGTAATATATTAAAAATCAACTTAGTTTTTACTTGTGATTATAATATCGGGTATTGGTTTTATATCGGTATATTGGGTATCAGTAAAAAGTGGTATTGGCCCATCCCTAATAATAATACTCTAAGCTAATTTTTTATTTATTTATTTATTTATTTATTATTTCTATGTATAAATTATTTGTTTATTTATATATTAATAAAAATCCATTATCATTGATAAATAATAAATGTCCAACCATCGAGTTTATTATTATTATTATTATTATTATTATTATTTATTATTATAGTATATTATATTATATTATTATAGTAGATCACATGTTTGATCATATACTTACTGGTATATCACACAACATGCCAATACCTTAAATTATACTTTCACACATTCTGAACGTACATTTGTATACAATAATTGTTGATTTTATTATATGTAATTTAAAATATATAACATAAAATATTATTAATCTTATAATGATCAATAAAATAAAAATAAACACCAATTATTAAAATTAAACTATCTTTTATTATAGAAAAATAGTAAGAAACTAAATGAGAACAATATGCTATTGAGGTATAAGTAGGTACTACAATCAAGAAGTCTTATAGTTTTGTTAGTTCTAATACAATACTAGACTATTTTTATAACATAATTTAGTTAAGGTTTAAACTGAAGAATGTTTTAGTCATATAATTTATGTAAATTATGTTTTGAAATAATTACAATTTTATAATCTTTGTAGACGTTCCAAGGATCGTAACAACTATAAACATGATAATCAGGAGAAAGAATATAAGCTAAAGAAATATGATAGCGATATGTAAGTCGCATTTCATTAGAAAATTAGGATTTTTTTTATAATAAATGTCAATAAATTTTTAATGAATTTAATTTCTTAGAAAAGCTTATCAAACACATGTACAACAACTTCTTAACAGTAACATTTGGCCATTAACATGTTACCAACCCATTGGAAGTTTATACCCTATTCAACCTGTTGGTAGTTTGAATCTACCCGATGTATCATTTGAAGAAATAAGATGTGATTTTTATATTCTTAAATATATGGTTGGAGATCCTCAATCTGTTCATGTAAGTATGAATAAATATGTATTTACAATTAAATTATATATACATATTAAAGAATATACTTTACAATTTAAATCAAATAATAAATGAACCAAATTAAAAAGATATAGAATAAAAATATAAGTTAACATGAATTTCAGAAATTATATTTAGGTCAATTTTTTTTTATTTAGACCAATATGGATACCGCTCACTTCACATTTAAAGCTATTTTCCTTTACAGATCATAATAAAAAATTATATATTCTGTTTTAATGTTTTAATTTTTGTATTGATTGAATGAAAACATTACAACAATTTTTTCAACTAATCAATAACATTAAGTGTCATTCAGTTATACAGTTATACTGTTGAATAATATTAAAATTACCCACCAAATGATCAAAGGATCGGAACAATAGTAACTTTATATTTATATTATGAAAATGTATAGAATATGTACATCGATTTATATACCTATATACATACAATTTAATGACAATTTTATCAAGTTCATTTATTCTTTATTTCCATGAAAAAATTTGTTATTGGTGTATTATTGGATAACCACTGTACAATAATGACTTTTATATAATATATTATGTAGTACAGTGTATACTTTGTTTCATGTATTTGAAATTTTGAATATGTTTTGAAATGTTGCCTAATTCAATAGTATTATTTAGTTATGATTTTCAATAAATATCATTAATTTTCTTGATGAAGATTCAAAATATAGACAAATTTAATATATTGGTATATTGATTATTACATTATTAGGATTAAATACCTTGGCAACGTACCAGTAATGTATAATACATTACAATAAGGTCTAGATTTTCCAATAATATATTATTTACACAACTGTGATGTATAAAAATTGATAAAATTAAAAGATTATCTTTATTACTACCTACCTAATACTTTATCTTATGTTTTCAGCTCAATTTAATTAATGGTTTAAATTAATAGGTATGATTATAATGTGTCGTTATTCTTAATATATCATGTTTAAATAAAATTACCAGACATGACTATTGGTAATATCGCATGAAATCATGAAATACTAACAATATATATTTTGTATTTTTTATTAGAAACATTGTGTTGACGAATTATTATTTAAATCGCAACAATTGAAGAGAGATATTTTATCATTTGAAGACTACATACAAACAGATATGGTGAGAATAATCTTATTACAATAGTATTATATTATTACAAAAGAAAATTCAATATAACCTTAAATTGTATTTTGATATTCCTTTTGTATTTAAGTTGGCTACATTTGATAAATGTGAACAATCGAAAATGAACAATCCTTCATTTCAAAACTCCATTCAGGCAGACCCAAACATTTATTGGAATATGTCTCAAAGATATTTGATAAATCCTGAAGTCAACAAAGCTCAGATGGAAGCATTTAGTTTTGTTATTGGTCAAGAAACTACACAAAAAGCTCCTTCATTGAAAATACTCATGCAAGTTGAAACGTATGGTCAAGTAGATAGTGAAGTATTTGCTCAGGAACAATTCACCGATTTCATACCAATTATGCCTCCACCTAGAAAGTCCTGTTTGTAAAAAGTTATTGTGTACATGAGTTATTTGATGTCATATGATGTTATATATTTTTATTTCATTTAATAATATTTTTATTTTTTTTTTTATATTTATTTGAGGTTGTGAAATTCACTTATGAATTTCAGATTCTCCAACTAGAATTACTGTATAAAAATTATGCTACCTATTTTAATCTAATCTACAAAAAACCAACACAGTATTTTTTTTTTAATAATAATAAATAACTAAATATATTAAATATCTTGAAACCTAAAAAACTTTTAATTTTGTATTCATTTTTATTGATAATTATTTATTTGGAAAAATTCTTATAGTGATTGGCATGTTTTTATACTTATGGAGGAAGGTACATTACATTTATTAATAATTTTTTTTACTATTATTTTAATTTAGATTTATGGTTTTTGTTATAATTTATAATGACTGAAATGTTAAAATTTAAATGAAAATGTATTGCCATTACTATTTTATATTTATAAATGATATAGAAAAAGTTTTCAAATATTAAAAAATTTCAATATTTGCAAAAGATTTAGAAATATATTTGCTTATCTTCAAGTTCCTATGCCAAACATTTTTTAATCAGATTTGATTAATAAATCTGATTGACTAGAATACAGTTAATGGTGTTTATATTAATTTATATAATGTATTCATATTTGATTGTATTCATCTTGCATAGTTATTGGATTTTGAGTTATCAATATATTATTAAAAAAAATGATACGTGGATTAAGTTCATACCTAAGAAATTTTTTTTTTTTATATTTGTTACAGTTTCATTGCGCACATAAGTTCAATTTACACCAAATTCTTAAAAGTACTTGGCATTTTAAAAATAAACTATTGAATTTGAAGCTGAAATCTTCCATGTTCAAACTGAAAACTTTGAGAAACTTCTATTTCATTCATATGTTCGGTTATTAATTTGGCTTTTTAAACACTCCTTCCTCGGATATTTTAACTGAATTTGTCTTCTGAATTTGTTTTGATGGATATATATTAATAAACGGTATGATAGATTGTCCTGAGCTTAAATCATATATTGATTTAAAAGAGTATGGTTTATAATTTTAAAAATAAATCCAGTTTTCATATTCAACTTGTTTCTAAAAATTCAACATGCTGTTTACCTAAGTTATGTAATGAACTTTTCAATTTTATATTGTAGCTACTAAATTTTAATTGTATGCATTTAACTAATTGTATTTTATTATATCTAATTATTTTGTATTAAACGCCTATTGGAAGCTATTGGTACCTTAATCACTTGTGGATATTAATAAATTAACTAGTTCAAATGTCACTATTTTTTGGATGTATAACAACTATTAAATTATTAAAATTGAATGCCTATTACTTGTTTTATATGTCCCATTGATTATTAATTAATTTACTGTGTGCATTAAGTATATAATGTTTACACTTCCTACAGACTACATGGAATTGTAATTTTCGAAATATTGTATTTCTCATAACTTTCTAAACACTAATGATGTCTTATTAATGAATGAAAATCACTCAACTTTTGAATTTCTAAAAATAACCTTAAGTTAATTAATTATATATTATTCAAACAGAAAAATTCATATTTTATTTCAATAAATATTATATGTATTATATTATAAATATTATTATATGACATAGTCACATGAAATAACATACTATTAAGGGTAACAAAATAATAATAAAAATAAAATATATGATATTATGTTATAATATGCAGATTTGTTATCATAAAATATTGACACAAAAAATTATTTGATTCTTTAGTTTTATTCTTTAGTTTTTTTTTTTTTTTAGTCTTTTAAGCTTCTAAGATTGTATTGGTTCAATTTGGTGGGAGGACTTAAGCCCTAAATATACTTTGATATTGTAATGTAATGTAATATTGTAATGATATAAGGGAGAATTACTATGTTAAATTGTGAAGAAGTACTTATATGTTTTTTTTTTAAATCATTACTTATTATATTATTGATTCTCAATATTACCTCTCCGATGATTATGTCGGTCTGCCTCTTGACAACCGTAGTTGATTCTTCAGTTATGGAATAAGGTGACCAATTTATATTTTCAAATAATAATAACTTTCTTTTTTAACTCACTTATATTAATTTTATTTAAATCACTTATATTTATATATTAATACACTTATTTTAAACTTTTACAGAATGTTTTACAATTAATTTAATTTTTCTGCATAGACGATCTGAGTAGTCTTTTACACTCGCCTTTGACCCTCTATACAAAAGAATAACAAGAACGCGTCTCTCTTGTGTTTTAAAATGTTGCTCCTTATATTTAGACTAGGTTCACATGGACGCGCGTTAGCACGCCACAGAACGCGCGTATAACCGTTCAGATGGCTGCGTGTCACGCGCGTTGTACGGGAATGTTCTAGTCAAAAACTATACTACTTAGTATAGTTCAAATTTTCATGAAGAATGAATGTGATAGATGCTGTGTGCTTATTGCCCGTCCATCGAAGGATGATAAGATGCAGACGGAAAGGAAATATTGGGTTCATCCTATTTTGAAAACAAGGCTTTCTTTAAGTCTTAGATTATTATTGCATTATATTTAGTGCTTCATCATATCCTAAACTAATAGAGCACCATGACAAATTTTTCAATTACTTTGAAATGTCCATTAAATCATTTAACGACCTATTGGAGATAATTAAAGACTCTTTAGAAGCTGATGACAATGTCCCAGATGGCAGGCCTTTTTTTTATTTCATTAATTAACATATCTATTTCGATTTCCGTATTTAAAATAACACTTGTTTTCAAAAACTATAGATGAAAATTCGATCGTTCGCATCGAAACGCACGTGTCAACTGAACGGTCCGATAATGATACATGGAATTTCAATCCGCGGAGTCACGCGCGTGTTCGCGCGAAAATAGAAACTTGCGTCGTTATCGCGATTGACGCGCGTATATGCTAATAAACGCGCGCCATGTGAACGATTGTCAGGAACACTGATTATCTAAATACGCGCGTCTGTCTAACGCGCGTATACGCGCGTCCATGTGAACCTAGCCTTAATGTCGCCTGTGTGTGTGTGTGCGCGTGTATGTGTGTACGTGTGTCTGTGTGTGTCATTTTATCTTTAGTACATATGACCTATTCTTATATTTAATGTGTATTGATTATTTTAGTACATTCATTTTTTTTAAAAATATATGAATGCTTAGGCGCATATCATTACAATATATATAATACAGCGTTTCTCAAACTGTGGGTCGCAACCCCTTAGGGGGCCGCGAGAAGTTTTTTTAATTATACAGATTGTAAGAAACAAGCACATTCATCACATACGCCTAATTATTATAAATATATTATTATAACTATTATTATTATTATTATTATAAAGTAGTTAATAAGAAATAAAATAGAATAAATTTTTTTTTTTTAAATTATTTTTATTGATTCTGTAAATGTAAAACTATGGGGTCATGATAGATTTTTGGAAAAAAATGTGGGTCGCGGTCCTAAAAAGATTGATAACCACTGATATAATTTATAGGTATATATAAATACAATTGTTTAGTTTAAGGATAACATTCAATCTTTTTGTGAAAAAGAATTGAGAACTTTTTCACTATCAAGAATGATATCCCTTTCTATATGAAATATGGATATGTTAGTAAATCTAGTCTGTTCCATTGTAGTTCTTATCCAAGTTTTAATCTAGCGTATTGCCGAAAAACTTCTTTCGCAAGATTTGGATACATATTTTTACTTATTATTATTTTTAAATGCAGTTTTTGTAGCAACATGCCCATCGAGTTTCACAAAATCTTTGCAAAAAGTAATTAGTAAGTCAGTTAATTATTTGTTTTGACGGGACTGTGCAAAATGAATACGAACAGCTTCATGAACATGAAAAATGTTTCTTGTTTCCTAATAATAAAATGAATTAAAAATTATAATATAATGAGTGAATAAAAAAAAATTGAATACTTTAATATGATTGCTTGTACTACAAAGAACCAAATTCATTTGAAGTGCTAAGCAATGAATGTTAATAGCTTTAGGGTATTTATCTCGTATTCTTGTTAGTACACTTGACACAGTACTAGATATGATATTTTACCCATCATATACTGTGCTACCATTGGAACTTCATGAATATTAAGTTATTTTAAAAGAAAAATTATTTAATTGGAAAATTGTTCAGCCCCTTATCCACCAGATACTTGTACATCAAAAAGATATATTCAGGTTGCCATCAACAAATTGAACATACATCAATAACTGTTCTTGCTATAAGACCTATTGAATGAGATTAATATTGTTCAAAAAAACAATTTAAACGTACTTGTAAAATCTTGTTATAGTTTTAAATAAAAATCATTGTTTTAGCTGCTTACCTTCCTTCATTGCAAGCTAAAGCATACATTCCACAATTTTAAAGTTCTTGTAGGTATTATGTTTCTTCTACAATATTGGAACTTATATTTAAAATTACATTTTGGGTATACCAACTGTTATAATTGGTTTTTTTTTCGAACACGGAATTTGAAACGCTTTTTTGCTCACTCCTGGGTATTCATTTTGCAAAGAAAACCAAAATGAATCATGTTCAGACATATAAAATTTAGATTTTAAAGTGGTATATGATGATATTTCTAGTAATTGTTCTTTTTCCGTAGAAGATAAGTTTGCATTTTTAATATTTTCTTCTCCACAAGGACCATATAATGAAACTACCCACTGTATTTCAGTTGTTCGAAGTGATGGAAAATAACTCTTTAAATTTTGAGAAAGTGTCAATAAATGTTCGTGCATTATATTTTTTAATTCCGTTTTTTGAGTTATACTTAAATGGATTATTGATTCTTCAACTGAAGAAAAGCATGAAAAATCATCATTTTTTATGGATGATAACCATAAATTAATTTTTTTTTTGAAACTTTCCATTTTATCACTTGTAGAAATTATATTTTCTTTACGACCTTGCATACTCGAATTTAAAACATTTAGTTTTTGAAAAATATCAGCAAGGTAAGCTAATTTAGCACACCACATTTGATCATCAATTTTATTTGCATAATTATTTATGTTTTCAGCTTCAAAAAAAATTTGTAATTGATCTTGGAGTTCCAATACACGATTTAATATTTTACCCCTTGAAAGCCAACGTATTTCGGTATGAAACAACAAAGTAGTGTGTTCTGTACCGATATTTTTATATAATTCTTCAAATTTTCT